AATCTTCAACACAAAACTCCTATTGGGTATGTCTTCTTCTCTATTTTCTTGACTGTTAATCCAAGAAACTCTAGCCCCAAGGAAATGGTCTTCGACGATCTGGTTGGGATCCAAGCGTAGAATGATCTCATATGACGTCTTGCCAGTGAGCAGATTGGTGAAATCGGAGTCTTCAATGGAGGTGAGCGAATTGAGATAAATAGAGATTTTGTGGTAAAGCTGGTTGTCCTGCGAGTTCTCGCTGAACTCGGGGACCTTGAAGAACTGATAAACATGAAAGCAATCCTGGATGCATCTCCACAATCTCTTGACAACATAAATCAAGCCGGTCTTGAATAAAAGAAGCCGAAGCAAGAACAGAAGGGTGGGTGCGAAGAAGAAGAAAATAATGAGATTGCAAAGAATTTTCATGGTGTCTGGGGGGGTGAAAGAGAGAGAATTGGGTCTAATTTATTGGGAAATTAAAAGAGAAAAGGAAGTTTAGAAGAAGCATGTTTATTAGACAGAAATCCGAAAGGAGAATTTGAGAGAAAAAGAAGAGGATTTAAAAGACTGCGATGACGATGAATTGAGAAAAATTTTAAATAGATGATTTATTTTATGAGTCAAAAAGGAGGTAGAAAAAGGAATATTTTATTTCTTTTTTTATATACGTATTAAATTTAAGCTTACGGGTTACAAAAGAAATGTTAAATTGAGTGAAGTAGGAAAGGAAAGTTAAATTTGATTTTGCTTTTCTGTCATCTTTTAATTAATCGTCAGGTTGTATGATTGATTATTTGGGCAGAAATTAAAATATTTGGTGACCAATTAAAAAGTTAATTCAATTTTTTAGTAACACCTTACTTAAAAGAAAGAGGTCAAAATCCCCTTTTTTCATATTTTTAAAATCTAAATTCTACCCAGTACGGTAGAGTTACAAAGCCCAGTTTGCAAAAAAAAAAAAAAAAAAAAAAAAAGTCAACAAAATTACACACAGTTTGCAAAACTTTCAAGCGCCCCATTTGCGTTTCTTTCCCTTATAATTTTGCTTGTAAAATAAAAATTAAGTGGCTGATTTTATATCCCCAACCTTAAAATATTGGGGAAGTCAATTAGATATAATGTATAAAAGACAAAGACGGTTTTACACGAAGTTGAACTTCCGAGGTTAACACGATTTAATTTTAATCAATTTTTCTTCGTTATCTTTAATTTTAAACACTTTTATTCCCACGGAATCCACACCATAATCATGACATCAATAAATTCTGCATATCTGATACTCTTATTTTTTTATTAAATGAAAAAGTTAGGTATAAAATATTGTCGGGTCAATTTTGGGCCAACTTGACCCGATTTTGTGAGCCCATTCGATCAATTGGGCCCAAAGGCAACAAACTAAGAAAAAAACCAGAGTATCCGTAGGTGGCCAAGAATTTTGAATTACCCTTGCCATTATTTTTTATTTATTCTTCTTTCCTTAAAATAAAATCCAAACCTCTTTAGTTTCTCCCAATTTTCATACAAACGAATGCTCCAAAATATATTGGCAACGATGTTTTAAATTTTGGAAGGGAATAATACAGTACGAAAATTTTTTTTTTTTTTTTTTTTTTTTTCGTTTTTTCAATGTGGGGGGCTGTAATTGTAACATATACATATATATAATATAATATAATATGTACGCGTGTATATAAATTAATTTAAGTTTTTTTTTTTTTTTTATATATAAAAAAATAGAGTTATATCCCGTGTTGATGTTGAATTTGTTGTGATTAAAATGAGATTAATTGTGTTATTTGTAGGGTTTAATCAAATTCATTTTCTAACTCAACCACATCATTATTATTTATAAATGATGACATCTGCAAATTGTGCCAAATGCCACCCTTTTGTTTGGGCTTATTCCTTAGCTGGACATGGAAAACCCCAAACAAGCCCAATACAGAGCCCAGCCCGTTCGATTAAATTGCATGATTATGTCCTGTGAGAGTTTTCCTAAAACCGCTCGCACTGTAACGATTGTACAGTGAACATACATACATGTTGCCGGAGTTCTCACATCTACATGCATGTTTTGAACATTATTCCCTGGGCTGCTCTTTCTATAAAATGTTTGAATCCGAATAATTTCATAAAAGTATGAATATATTTATCTAAATTAACAAAATGTATAAACTTTCACTAAGATAATCTAAATTTAATTAATCACACATCGTTTTACTATTCGTAAAAGTTTCTAATTTTTTTTGTCGTACCATTTAGTTTTTCGTTGAAATTTTGATACAATTTTCTAATAAAAATCTGCGTTTCAAGTTGAATTAAAAATTTTTGTATATATATTTTATAAAATTGTTTCTCCCATCTCTCCTCCTGTCTCGTTAAAAACGTGGCATGGTTTGTGGCCATATTTTTAATATGCCCCATCAATGCTTGCTTTTACATGAATCAGAGATTGTTAAACACCGGTCGAGATTTATTGATGAAAACCCAATGACCAGTTAATCTTTCGCCATTGATGTCAAAGGTTCTAGTTGCCTCTTTCTTTTGGGTCCACATCACCTTTTTCATCTTCAATTTTCCTTCTTTATCTTGTTATTTTCTTCGTCACTCTTTTTCTCACGGCGATAGAGGAAGAAAGAGCATGGCAACCACGCTCAGCTTTCTAAACTTCCCTCTTCTTCCCGCAAAGCCTCAAACTTCTAACTCCAAAATCCCCATTCTCTCCCATCCAACAAATCTACAAAAGCCCTTTATTTTTCAAACCATTCATCATGCAAAGTCAATCTCCCTTCCTCTTACAACCGTCGCATTACCTCTCTTTTTGGATACAAAGGCAAGTTCCAATTCCTTCATCCTCTTTCTCAACTCTTTTGTTCTTTAGCGATTACACTCCTGGATGTTTGCGATCCGTTTATTTGTGATGAATTATGGCATGGGTACAGGATGCAGTTGCTGCTGGTGGAGAGTTTGGGATCCTTGAGGGAAGGACCTTGGCGCTTATACATCCTGTTGTCATGGGTGGCTTGTTCGTGTACACCTTGTGGGCAGGCTTTTTGGGCTGGCAATGGAGGCGAGTGCGGACTATCCCGAATGAGATCAATGAGCTCAAGAAGCAACTAAAGCCTACCCCTGTTACCCCTGAAGGAACTCCTGTGGAATCCCCACCTTCTCCTGTTGACCTTAAAATTCAGCAACTTACTGAGGTATTTCTACTGCTCACTAAATTGCTTTGACAAATCTTACCATTGTCCTAAATGTCCAAGATATTTGTTGAATGATGTGGGTCATTGATGATACAAAATTCAGGAGAGGAAGGAGTTGCTCAAAGGATCTTACAGGGACAGACACTTCAATGCAGGATCAATATTGTTAGGATTTGGAGTATTCGAGTCTGTTGGTGGAGGACTCAACACATGGTTTAGGACAGGAAAGTTATTTCCAGGTCCCCATTTGTTTGCAGGAGCAGGTAAACACCTTTTTACCTCTGCAATTTGTACTTTTAATTTAACCCTTCTCCTTATAAACACGTATAAACTGGGCAAAATCCAAATTGAGAATGTTGGCATTTTTTATTTGCTTGTGATTGAATAAATAATCATTTGCGGGGATTTGATATTTGATTATTAGAGAATTGAAATGGTTGTTGAATGGAAATGCAGCAATTACGGTGCTATGGGCAGCGGCGGCAGCTCTGGTACCTGCAATGCAGAAGGGGAGTGAGACGGCTAGAAATCTTCATATTGCGTTGAATGCATTGAATGTAGTGCTCTTCATTTGGCAAATCCCAACTGGATTTGAGATTGTCTTAAAGGTGCTTGAATTCACCAAGTGGCCTTGAAGTTCCCTGCTGCTGTAGCCTCGCTTTACTTTCTCTCTCTTGGCCTCTTCCATCATCTGCAACTTCAGTTTTTTTTTCCCTCCATTATCTGTTCTGTTTTTCTATACCCATCCTTTAGATTAGTTCATAGCCTTTGTTTTGATAATGTTGCTGGGTTCAATATTGGCCTTATCTCATCTCATTACCATCAATGGGCATCTAAGTAAAGTAACCAAGAATAAAAATAGAAATAAATTCAAAAAAATTTTTAAAAAAATATTGTCTCTTGAAGAACAGAGATGGAAATATAGCTACTCCAGAATGTATATGGTTAGAGTAGCAAGAAATGTAATTGATGAATATACTAATACTATCCAAAATCACCTCACAAGTATAAAATACTCTTAGTTGGCAACAAATGATAATTATGAAGTGATAATCAAATTCATTCGTACTGAAATTAAGAGGAATACTAAACATTCTTATTATTAATGTTCTTATTTTTATTTGTTTAATCAAATTGCGTCAGCATTGTTCAATTATATTACATATGTATTTGTTCAAAATTTTATTTTATTATTGATGAGCAGGTGTTGCTTTAGTTTCATTATATGTATTAATTTTTATATACTCTAAATTATAACATTATGCATTTTAAATAATCACAAAATATCAAATGGCACACCATCAATAATATTCTCCTCTCAAGTTTTAACAGAATATATATGTTTCTTAATAGTTTGTTTTCCATCTTCCTATTCCTATGATCAGCACAATTCCTCATCATATTTTTTTTTTAAAAAAAAAAAGTAAATTCATATATTCATTAATTAAATATATACAACATATATATCAATCATCATATAATATAATAACTTCTAATAATGTCTTATAAATGAAAAAATGTAACTAATATTCAGTTAAATAGTAGTTGATAATTGAATGTCATTAAAATTTAGTTGTATCTCATTTTCTCTTATGTAATAATATATCATAAGATGAACAACAAAATTAATTAATGTCTTAATAGATTAACAACAAAATTTGGGCGTGCTATATCTTGATAGATGAACAGCTAACTTAGTAACTTTTTTTTTTTTAATTAAATTATCATATATTATATATAAACACATATAATATATATATATGTATTGTCTCTCTCTCAAATTTTTTTTTTAAAAAATAATATATTTTACTTGTTTGCAAGATATTGTAGATTTTGTATTTATGTGGTTTTAAGATCCATAAAAATTAATAGTTATTGCAGTAAATTATTATCTTAATACTTGCATTATTTTCTATGTTACAATTAGTTATATATATGTATATATATATTTTTCATTAGTAATTTTATCTTTAAATCTATGTTACTATTAAGAAATAATTTTTGACATAAAATCATAAATAATTTTTTTTTAAAATTTATTTTTAATGGATTTTGAAGGTTTTAATAATTAAAGATCAAATATAATAAAAACAAAATTTTATTAAGAAATACAAATGATGATACCCGGCATAAATAGAAATGTTATGTTACTCAAATTATACTGAAGGTATTTTTTATAAGTAAAGTTTGTTATTATTTTAGATGAAAAATTTAGAAACAAATTGTAATAAAAATTTTAGTCCAACTGGCAAGTAGGTATGTTGATTGGAGATTGAAAAAAAAAAAAAAAAACAAGAGAGAATTTATATTCATTTGTAAGTGGTGCGATTTTTCACACAACAAAAAAAAAAAAAAATGCAAAGATAATTTTTTTTATTTTTTTATTTTACACAGACATGAGTTCATTGTGAACAAGTGGGAATAATTCTTCTTCCTCTTCTTCTTCTTCTTCTTCTTCTTCTTCTTTTTTTCCTTTAAAAATTTAGTAGCAAATTTCTATTGGTTTATTGATTTATGCAAGAAAAAGAAAAAGGGCAGAGGGAATAAAATCTGGCCAATGTCAGCAAGCAAAGTCAAGGAGAAGAAGAAGACAAGGACAGCGATAGACACATTCTCCCCTGAATGTTAAAGAATCTTGGACAAAGCAGCCATTGATACAGTTTTTTAACTCATAAATTTCTCTTACAAAAATTTTGATACCATTCGTGAATTGTCAGTAAATATTTTGTCAAGCTGTCTCTGCAATTTGGTGCATCTGATGCCTTTCCTGTTTTCCTTAATTAACTATAAATAACAACATTCCCCTCCCATTTCTCTCCGTCTTCATTTCTTTCTTCACTTTTATTTTTTAAAACATTTCTCACTTTCAATCCTTAATCCCTTCGAAACAATGTCGACAAACTTACAGTCTCGCCCTTGGTCACGTTTGGCAAGCATTGCCAGGCCAGTCCCTGTCCCTCCCCCGGCTCCAGCCCCAGCCCCAGCCCCAGCCCCAGCTCCAGCCCCAGTCCCAGCCCCAGCCCCAGCCCCAGCTCCAGCTCCTCCTCCGGCTCAACCTACCCCTCCACCTCCAGCACCTGCCCCTGCAACGGCTCCAGCTCCTGCTACGGCTCCACCTCCACCTTCCCCAACACTTCCAGCACCTGCCCTTGCTACAGCTCCTCCTCCAGCACCAGCACCTGCACCTGCCGCTGCTCCAATCCCAGCCCCAGCTATAGCACCTGCCACTGCACCACTCACTGATCCTTCTCCTGCCCAGACTCGTCCCATCCCAGCTCGACTGCCCACATTCAGGCCCCTGCCTCAAGCATCTCCACCATCACCACCACCAGCAGCAAGGCCAGTGGCTCTACCGCAACCTGCTACTGCTGCCATGCCAGCGGCTGTTGTTGCTCCAGCAGCAAAATCTCCAACTCTTAAACCATCACCGACGCCCAAAACTTCCCCAACTCAAACACTGCTTTCGGTCACAACCTCCTCGGCCCAAACACCTCCCAAGCCAAAGCCTTCACAATCTCCTTCTTCTTCTTCACCACCCAAACCCATCGCAACCACGAACTCATCAGCGCCAGCCCAAAGAGTTGGGTATACGGCAACCACTATCCTTTCTACTATTCGGGCGCCAAGTCCAACACAATCTTCGAAAACGATAAAACCCGCAACTCAAACTCCACCGCAATCTCCCAAGCCCAAGCCTACTGGATCACCGCCTTCTCCCCTCAACTTACCACCTTCCAAATTCAAATTGGAACGTGAAAATGAGCCCAAGATCCCCAAAGAGGCAGAGCAGAAAACAGTTCTGGTTCAAAAGACCGTCGGCGAAAGGCCCTTGTCATGGCTAACTGGAAGCGAGCCCAAGAAAGATGCGGGTGCCACCAATCACAAAGGGAGCAACAACGTCGCTGAATCAAAAGAGAAAAAAGGGCAGGGAAAAAAGGCTTCTTCTGATTCCGAGGAAGGAGGGTTTCGGGTTATCACGCTTGCAGGTGAAAATAAAGGTGCCATCATGGAAATTTTCCACTCCCCAAAGAAAAATGGGTTTGAAGGTAATCCTCGGTATCTCCAGGCCCAGAAGACGACGGGAACTTCTAAACTTGCAATCGCTGATGGCGGCGAAACATGGCATAGCTTTAGCAGTGGCGACGAAAGGAATGACCAAAAGACAAACAAGGACAAAACCCAGAAAGATGCGAAAGCAATGCGGACTCTTCCCATGACCGCTTTCATGAACAGTAACGTGCAAGCTGTTAACAACTCCATCATGTATAATTCCAAGTGTAAGCACCATGATCCCGGCGTGCACCTTGCTCTCTCCAGGAAACCAGGCCATGGAGCATTCAAGATCAAGGAAAACGGCAGCGGCAGTCGTAATTAGAGAAGAAGAGAGAGAGTGAGCAAAAGATTCAGAGAGGTTTTACTTCTGCGGTTGGTTTTCACGCTATAATTATTATGTCATGAGAAGAAGAAATTATAAGGGAGAATAGAAGCAAAATATGAGAATAAAACAAGAGCGATCACAAAACGGTGTTATGGGTTCTGATTCTTCAATTTTTTATTCCACTTCTGCGGAGTTTGATTGAAGTATATCGCTCATGCTCTGTTTTCTGATACAGACATATATACACAAAAGTTAAAGAGTGCGGAGCGTATATTTATATATATATAAAGTAATAAGTGATGGTCTGCCATTTAAACATTGGTTTGTATCTGCATTTCCTTTTAGCCAGTTTTTATATGTTGATTCCTATTGTAAGCCACTTCTATTCTATTAAAAAATGCTATATATCTTGAGAATAAATGTCTGCTTTTTTATCTAGTATGATTTTGTCTGCTAGTTTGCATTTGCAAACTAATAATATAATTTTTTATTAGTTAAGCCATGATTTTCAAAATCATAATTTTTTCTAATTTTTCAAATAAACTATTTGTTGATTTTAGGACTGTTTGATAATTTTTTTTTTATATCTTCAATATTTTTTATTATTTATAAAATCATTTTTTATTTTAAATCATTATGTCCGATATGATTTACTCTTTTTTTTTTCTTTTTCTCTAGGGTTTCTTTTTCTTCTTCTTTTACTTGATACTGATTCAAGAAGAGCTGCACACGCACACCTCTTCTCATTCTTATTTTATTATATATATATATTTAATATTATATATATAATATATATTTAATTATATCAATTTTATGATATATATACAATAAAGTATAGACAAAATAGATATTTTGCTCAAATATATAATTATATTATAATGTCAATTCAAATAAAAACAATTGTCATTACCGGTGTAATACCCAACTATTTTTATTTTTTATTTTTTTTATTTTTTTATTTATTTTATTTCATTTTTACTAATTCTATATAAATATAAAATATGTATTAATTGAATTTAATTTAATTCAATTTATTTTAATGAAAATAATAATAATAATAATAACAAAAAGGGGTAAAAATTTGTTTAGAGATTTAATTGAAAATAATTTTGAGAAAATGGGTAAAAATTTGGGTTATGGGGATATTTTTGAAAGAAAAATAGAAAACCGGAGGTTAAAACATAATTTAAAAAAGTTATGTCACGTCATCTGCCCGGTCAGCAGCCCTGACCAACCAGGACGCTCCAGGTAGCAGAGACGCTGACGCAGGAGGCCACGCAGGAGGGAGCCACGTGGGCAATCCATGTATGCACGATCGAACGGCTGAGATCCGTTCCCGCATGAACGGCCCAGATCAAAATGCGCACGGACGACCCAGATTGCATCGCACACAGATGGTACAGATTGAATTGCTCACGGACGGCCCAGATTGAATCGCGATGAACGGTCCAGATTCACTCCCTATTTAATCGTGATCGGACGGTTCAGATTAAAAGCGATGGATGGCTCAGATCAAAAGTAGATGGGTATAAATAACCTCATCCGCACCCAAACTCTAACCCTATCCGCCAGAGCCCCTCGCTGGAGAAAACAGCCTAGCCACCGGAGAGTTGACCGCTGCCACCCGCCGCCGTACCGGAGCAATTTTCGACCGCCAAACAAGGTAAAAATTCTACCATTTGCTCATAATTTAATTCTAAACCCACCTATGGACAAATTAGAGCAAAAGCACCGACCAATTAGTCGAAAAACGCCGCCGAAACTCAGCAGCGCTGCTGCGAGGTGTTTTAATTTTTGCCTCCGATGAGACCCTTCTCGATTCCCGTTCGATATGATTTTTTCACCGTTGTGATCACTGGCTCCTTCTCTACAGGTTAACCGGAGCAAAACACCCAATCGCAACGTGAGCCGAAGGAGCCGCAGCACCAGAGAGCCCCACCGCCTGTGAGTTTCAATTTTTTACATTTTTTCGGCCCACCGAGGACCCTAAATGTGTTTTCTCACAAGAACTGATGCAAGTTTGGCTGAATTTGGCCAAAAATAGCCAACCCGAGGCGGACCACCGTCACGAGCGACGGCGCCGCCGGCGGAGCACGGCGAAGCCGTCGTGCCAGAATTTTGAAATTGGCCGAGTAGGCCCTAGGTCTAATTTTTGGATTATTTGAGACATGTGTAAGTACCGTAAGAGCGTTTCAGTTCCCGAGAAAAAATTCAAGGAACCTAGGGACCGCCCGTAGGCGTAATGACAATCTAGTTTTCGACGTCGAATCAAATAAGGACCCCTCACCCTATTTCCTATCATGGAATTAAAGTTCGAATAAATGGTAATACTGTATTTTGTGCAAATTAATAGATAAGCATAATTAATTAAGGTTGCTAATAGAGCCCGAAATCGAACATTATTCCTTGTCGATTTCTGCTTGATTTATTTTACAGTTTAAATGCGCTATGGTATCTGGTCTATCTATTCTATAATTTTAAATGCATGTGTTACTGTTTTATTTGACTACTGTGTGATTGTGAAATTTAAGATATGATTGTATTATCGGGTGCATATTTATTATTTATGTGATTATGTTCAACTTGGTAACGGGGACTAAGGGAAAACAGATAAGGTGACAACCTCACTAGATATCTTGGAGATGGTGGACGGACCGAGTTCATAGGAAAACCCTACCGTGAACGTCGTCTCATACT